TTCAGCAATGGAGACTCAGTCCTGGGTGGGGCTAGTAGGTACGAGTGCAAAACAAAAGCAATCTTTATCAATTTATGTTGTGATTAGTGGAGTATAAATTGTAGGATTTATAGTGTTATCATGTGTACCTGATGATTCTTGCAAATCAGTTTGACATTGTACAGGGTGGGTTTCCATTTGTTTCTAACAGCTTTACCCTGCTGTGCTTTAGTGATTTCTGTAGACTTACCTCTGATTAGTGATGATCTAAGTAAGTTTAAGTCAACCTCTCAAAATCACAGGTTTGCCACCTGACTTCAAGGCTGGTGGAAATGCTTTATAAAATCTTAACTTTATTGTCTTTGCTACTGTCCTTGCTTTAGTCACAGAAGGAGAATTCCAGCATTTACAAAGAGCTTGAGACCGTACAAAGCATCTGAGAATGACAGTATTTTGTTAATATTAGTTATTGAAATCTCAGTCTCGAAACTGTTCTCTTTTTGAGAACAGACGTAATTCATTATGTCTATAGCTTGCAGCTGTGTGTTTCAGATTGAACATACGTGTGGTTTACACTCACTGGAATGTCATGAGAATAGACTGTGGATATTTATTCTTCTAATATTTTCTTTGAAAACACCAGTTTTCTTTGTGGCTAATTCAGCATTATAGTAAAATGGAGGAAGTCTCTTATATTTGCCTGCTAGGAGAGAGCCAGTCTGTATTCAGAGGATCTGGTGCCCATGGTAGCTTTTACATTTCAGATCAATGCGAGGTGGATGTTCCTTAGCAGTTGGAGACCCTCTGGTATAGGGACAGCACAGGAGAGGTGTGTCACAGCACAGGCTTGGAACACAGGGACCACAGCTGAGTGCTGGTCCACAAAACCATTCCCGTGGTCCTATGCAGTGTCACTGCATTGTAACGTTGCCTTGAAATCTATGAGAGTTGGATATTTAACTACTTTAGAGAGTCTCATTTTCATACACAGGTATGTCTTCAGTGCCTGAGCATCTTTTATAACAGCGAGTAGGTGTGGAGGAGTAGATGTCTGGATCTGAAATGCACAGCTTGTTTCTGCCACGATCCTGATGTGCATAACACGGACCTGGATATTCTGAAGATTAGGTAAAGGAGAGAGTGGGGGCTCCTAAGCCTGCCCCAGACCCATAACTCTGCTCCAGCAGACAAATAGGAAATGCTCTTGTCAAATGCAGTGTCTGTATGATAGTCACTGTATTGCCTGTAGGGATACTCTTGAGCCAATTAACAGGCTGAAGGATGTCTCATGAGACTCTGCCACTGCCATATGGATATGCTGTCAACATATGTTTCACTCCAGCTGGGGAGAAGAGGAAAGGGAGTTGATAGCAGGATGATTTACTGTTAATCTAGGCTGGGTATCAATGAGTGAAGTATGGGCATCAGCACAGTCTCTCTAAGCCTTACAGCACCCTGGGATTTCTACTCCAACCTGAGCCCCTTTTTCATACTATTTCATCCTCAGCACTAAATCAATCAAATGAATGCTAGCCCCTGTACAGCTGGCAGTGCAAACCATGCACCTCCCAACTTCAGTGTAGATACTGCCTCAGAGAATGGGCAAACTGGAGAATGGGGAGGGCTTGGTCTCCTCTTCCCCTAGAGCTGCTTAGCAGCACTGGGGCAGGTGTGGGTAAGAGGGAACAAATCGCCCCTCCTTTGAGTACCCGGGTGGGAGACAAGTTGTATGGGTTCATCTGACCCAGCTGCCGGCCAGAAAGCCTGAACCTTCAGGCCCCCAGCCATCAGCCCGGGTTGCTTGTCCACCCCAGAGAGCCTTAATTTCCTTGATGCTTTGTCCTTTGCTGCCAGTGCTTGACACAGGGTATGCAAGGGAAATGGCTGACTTTCACACAAGTCTGCCTTTGGCATTTGTACACTGACCTTTATGTGGGAACATGTCTGAAGGTTCAAGACATGCGAGTGTTTTCAATCTAAGGGCTACGTCTCCCAGAGCAACCGGTGGAGGAACGCTTTCCAGAGAAATGTCTTGAGCAGAGAGGGCCACATGTTTCTGAGGCCTCTGGCAAGAGTAAAGCAATTTCTGATCTGAAGGCTGTGCTGCTAACTTACTCTGTAACCTTTGAAAAATATCACATACTTTCACAGTATTTTCTCCCTTTCCACATAATGGGGATAACAATACTTCCAACCTCATAAAACTGTCATAGATTGCTGTACTAAAGACTGCTGTGAGCACAGGACTTGAGGTCCTCTAAAAGTTAGTCCTTAAAGCATGATGTGTGCTTTTTTTTTTGTTGGTTGTTTTATATATTTCTTAGCAAACAAATGCTCAGCTGAATGTTTGAGTAATTTTGCATTCTAGTTGCTAATTACTTATTGTTTTAAACTTTAGAAAATCCTTTGAGTTTGAGGATGCGTCAAGTCTGCAATCCCTGTACCCTCCCTCCCCAACTGAAAATGGGACTGAGAGCCAGCATAAATTTGGATCCAAAAGCACTTTAGAAGAAAATGCCTATGAAGACATTGTAGGTAAGAACCTGTTGCAATACATGGGCTAACAGCGGGATGTTGAGCAGTTGTTGGCAGACTGTGTTGAACGCATGCCCTGGGCAAGAACGTTCAGTGCTGTCAGTAGAGAGAGATTACATGGAGGGTAAATGGGTTTGATGCATCAGTGCAAACTTAACTCTCAGTCTGCATGCAGGAGGTCTTGATTCCTTTGGACTTCATTGGGTGGTGCTGCAAACAGACTGTTCGGTCAGCTTTTTGCCATGCTTTTCAAGAACCACATCATTCTTTTAGTCAAGGCCTTGGCTTGAAGCCTTGAGTAGTGTAAAAATGTAAAGAACGGAACCTGAGATAGTGTTTACAGACCTATCCAAGAGCAAGATTAACCTCACAGGCCTTGTGTGGTCAGCCTGAGCTTTTCAGGACTCCTGTGTGGACTGCCCCAAAGCAGTTGTTTGTAGCACTGTTCCTGGTCTCCCCTAAGTCCCAGTTGCTGGTTAAAGAAAAATTAATTTCCTTTAGCTATACAGCCATCAGGAATGCGCAACAAAAACACTGTTTTGATTAAGCTTCACAAGAAAAACATGTTTCTTTTGGTCTTAGAAGAAAATGTATGGCCTATGCATACATTCTTTTAACATCAAAAAAGTTGTTATAATTACCAAAATTGGGCAGCCCTTCAGAGCACAGATTTTCCACACAAGTGATGAATATCTGCATTGTTTTTAACTCTTTCAGTGTTGTATTATTACAACAGATACAAAGGGTACTTCGTTTTACTTTGGACAATGAATCTTTATCTACTGAAAACTGGAGGGCTACCAAGATTGTCAGGGGCCCTAGGGCACATGTCCTCTGAAAAGACACTGACAAGCTGGGCTTGTTTAGTCTGGTAAAAAGAAGGACCAGAGGCACCCTAATGCTGCTTACAAATGTTTGAAGGTCAAACAAAGACAATAGAGCAAAACTCTTCTTGGTCATATCAGTTGATACAGCAAGGAACAGCGGCCACAAATCGTAGCTTGGGGCTCTTTGTCCTTATACCCAACTTCTGTGTCTGATTTGTCAGCCTCAGTGAAAACAGGAATTTACTCTTTCCATTTTCAACTGTACTGTCCCTCCATGCCATTCAAAAAAATGTTTTCAGAACACAAAAAAAAGCTGCTGTTCAGTGTCTGTTAATAAAAATGAGAGTTTTTGTAGATACTAAAGTTTTTTTTTCTGTAGAGAGCATCCTTATATGATCATCAGCATTCTTCATGAATGGTCAGACCACCGTGCAATTCACACTTGAAAATGTATTATGCGTTAATTACAGTGTTCATCATTGCTCAGGACCTGTCAATGTCCTGCCAGATATTAGATGGTAATGCTTCTTTTCCTTGCTTTGGTCTGTTAAGTATGAAAATAACATGTGCAGGACTGGTAAGAAGCTTTCTTCAAATGAGAAGAGATCTTGAGTTCAGTAAAACAAAATCAAATTGGGCTGTTCCAACTCATGGGAACTATAAGTTAGCTCCCTGCAGATTGTAATTTGGGCATTTTGGCAGGGCAGTGGGAAGAGAGTGCAAAATTTCAGATCTGTGGACAAACACAGAACTTCATTGTTTTGTACTGCTTTTTAACAGCCTCTTTCCAAAGCACTTCATTCAATACAGGCAGTGCAGGGGGAATGCCAAATCAGTATAATTCTTATAAACCATCAAGTGTGATTAAAGACAAGCCAAAGTAGTTTGATCTCTGGCTTTAAAGAAACTATCGTAGTTTTGTGTATCACATCTGCATAATTTATACCAGTAGTGCTAGACCCCAGTCTCTAAGTAGCACTTTTGTACTCACACAAACCAGGTGTCTGTAAGAGTGAGTTTATTTTATAGATTTACGTGTGCTTCAAAGCTGTAAAGAACTCTGTCACGGCTGCTTTGGGTTTTCTTTGCAAACAGAATCACCTTTGCCCTAAAGGTGGTAGTGTGTTTTTGTCTATAGCTGGTTGAATCTCCTGCCTTCCTAAAAGCTTGTAGGTAGTTAAAACATTGTCACTGTAGTAATAAATTTAATAAAGTCCCCTCCCACTCTACTCCCTATAGAATTAAAACTTTTAATGCAAATAAGTGTTAAAACACCAAAAAAAAGGCTGTGAATCTTGAGCTGTGCTCTAAGCACTCTACTGTGAGACAGACTTATAAAAAAAAAGTTCAGATTGGAAGGGACTTTGGAGTCAGTTGGTCCAACCTCTGCTCAAAGCAGGACTAGTTTCAAAGTTAGATCAGGTTGCTCAGGGCTACATCTGGTTGAGTTTTCGAAATATCTTAGGAGGGTGGTTCCACTCCCTCTCTGCGCAGCCTGCTCCACAGCTTAAGCTCCACTGTGAAGAATTTTTTCTTGATATCACTGTGAAGGAATTTTTCTTTCTCTCCTGTCAGAATTCTCCTTATTGCTATTTGTGACCGTTATCTTTCATCCTTCATTGTGCACCTCCAAGAAGCATCTGCCTCCGCCTTTTCCATAAGCCCCTTCTAGGTAGTGGAAGACAGTCCCCCCCAGATTCTCTAGGCTAAACACTCCCAGTTCTCTCGGCCTTTTCTCGCTCATGTTGTATGCTCCAGCCCAAACCATCTTCGCAGCCTTGCTCTAGACTGTCTCCAGTCTGTTGATGTCCCTCTGGTACTGTGAATACTCCAAATGCAGCCTTGAAAGGGCCAGATAGAGGGCAATTACCACTTCCTATGACTTGCTGGTCACACTCTTGCTAATGCAGGCAAAAGGTGTGGTTGGCCTTCCTTGCCACAGGCACACAGTGCTGCCTTATGTTCACTTCATTGCCTGCTGGGACCCTAAGCCTTTTCTTTGCAGTTGCTCCCTAAGCAGTTGGCCCCGACATGGACTGCTGCAGGGTTATTCTGATCCACATGTGGGACTGTATTTGTCTTTCCTAAACTTCCTGCGGTTCCTGTCGAGCCATTCCTTCAGCTTGCTGAGCTCTCCTGTCTGTCACTGTGTCCCCCAGCCTGGTGCTTCTCAGCAGGACATCTCTCCCTCATTAGAAACCAGAGGAGAGCTGTGGAGAAGTTGTGAATTATCTATCAGACAGTATTTTCTAAAAAGCATGCTTAATGTTAGATATCTACAAAATACCGTGTGGGGTACTGAGTGCTCTCACTCAGACTAGCGCAATGATCAAACTACAGCTTCCAAGCACCTAAGTGCTAGGACTGGAGTCATTGGTTTTCTGGTTACTACATGACCTCCTCATGTGATGCATATGCACCCTAAACCTTTGTCTTTCTCCTGGTGCCCTTATACTGTTTCCTTCTTTAATGACTGGACAGTGATGAACTGCTATGGCTAGTTTATGTTATTTTGAGAGCTGACTTAAAAAAAAGTCTTAAGGTACATTAAAACCAAAAATAATTGTGCTTTGAAATCCAGTCACATCATGAACCACACACTTTGTTTAATTTTTTAATATTTTTGTACACTTTTATAGATGAAATATCTCCATGTAAAGTTCAAGGCAGGTTTTGGATTGGAACGTAATGATCCATTCTGCGTTAATCAAAAAGCAGTTGTATAAAGGGGTGCACATTCCTAATGTTAATCAGAGCTGTATTCCATGTGCAAGGAACCATGTGGACTTCATTCATCTTCTGTACTAGCACTCACAGGAATGTGGCAGTCATAGTAAACTTAACATTGTTTTGCTTCTTGTGGTTTTGAATGAGTCTTTAATCAGACCAAAATTGGTGTGGCTTTATGAATCCAGTTGGGGAAACCATGCTTGGCTTTGTGAGAATTCAAGAAACTATCATAGTATTAAGAGACGTCTGAGACAGTTGCTTCTGCTGTGTTTGTGGACAACAGTATTTCTTGTCTTATGTACCATATGGCTTCAGTTTTCCAGTCTGTTCCCCTAAATGCAGTTGAGATATTTGAATATTGTTATTTAACCTGTGGTGACTGTGAGGCATTTTTCACCTGACATCTAGAAGAAAGTACTTGTTATCATCACCAAAAAAAGTGGAATGAGTAAAGTGAAGGCAAGGTTAAGGGCACAATGTTAAGTTTAACTTGAGAAAATCTAGTAAAACCATGTAAATTATGGTTTGTGTTTGTAAGAGAAATTGCACTCGCAATTCAGAAATTAAATATAGTGGAAGAAATCTTTGACAAGGCAAGCCGCCTTATTCTGCTTGTAACTCCTCAGAGTGCTGGGCACAGTAGAACAGTGAAACAGTGTAGTTAAACACAATTGTTTAGCTGTTTTCCTCTGTCAGGTTGAGTATTTCACTTCAGTTTGGGAAGAATCAGCTTCTTGTTTACTTCTGCACTGTAACAGGACAACTAGCTCTGGGTTTGCACGGGACTTCTTCACAGTCAGAGAGTTGAGTGAAAAAGAAATGATTATAAATCCCCAAACCACTCAGATCGGTACCAGACCTAGAAAAGTTTTTGGTTTTGTTTTTTTGGAGTAAAATCATATCCACATAAGACTTGTATATAGATTTCAGGTAGTCACTCAGGGAGCAAAATGTCCTTCTTTTGGTGTAGCTGCCTCTCTTTGAAATTAGTGAGGGCCAGGTTGTTGTTGTACTTGGTTTAGTGCAGTCTTTTCCAGAGAGATGAGAACAGATGAATCTGGGTGTCTCAGCTATTTCCCAATACATCAGAACTCATAAGAGAGGAGATGGAGCAATATGTCTCAAATCGGTATTACTAAGTGGAGTGTCAGGGCAGCCTAACCCAGGTGGGTGCCTGAGCAGTTAAAACAGGCAGGTGTGGACCTGCAAGCAAGATCCTGAGCGTGGAGGGAATGTTGGTGGCTACACCTTCCCTGTGGAGTCCAGTACAGAATGTCATTCCCTTTATCCCTCCTGGTAAGGCAACTGGTCTCTCCTAAACTGATTACTTGTTTTGGATTCTGATGTAAATTGGACATAGTGCATGTCATGTAACAAATGGGATGATTTAGCTGTTTTACTGAATCCTCCATTGTGCGTGCCAAGAGCTGCAGAAATGATGACTGAGGTCCAGTTGGAAGAAGTTCCAGCTTGACATTGCTTTCAAATTAGAACATTTGCAGAGTTCTTCCAGTAAATGTGGAAAAAAGTTAGAAAGACGGCAAGCTGATCTTTCCAGTAAAATCCCATCATCACATGCCACATTATCGCCTGTCATGCTTTCGTATTGCATTATTGTCTGTCATATTATCATCTCACATCAAAAGGGTTATACAAATCTGGGAGAAACTGGAACTGCTGGGCTGCAGTGAAGCTGAAGCAAACTTGGAGAGGTTGCACCTCGGCCAGCAGTGCTGTGCTTGTTGCTTCTCTGAAAATATTTTGGGTTTTTAGTCAGCCTCTTACCAGGAGGGTCTCTGGATAGTTGTTAGTCAAAGACAGAGCAAGGATTGATACAAAATAATGGTGCAGGCAGCGATCAGGGAAATGTATGTTCCTGTCTTCTTCCATGCCCCTAGTCTGCCTCTCACAGTCTAAAAGGCACGTGAGTTTTTGGAAAGTGTAATTGTGGCAGTTTTAATAATAGTGTAGGGTAGTGGCAGCCAGAGAACATGAAATCAAACGGTATCCATATGGGTCTGTCAAAGAAAGGCCAAATACCCTATCTGTCTTATCCTATTGATGATCAGCTTGCTGCTTTGTTGCTACATTGGGATACATGGATTTCAGTTATTTTTAATAATAATCTCATGCTTTATTTAGATCTCCTTCTTTCTCAGTGGAGTCTGTCTCACAGCTATACCATCCACTACAGCTTCTTTTGACAGTCTGTCAGTTTTTGCCTGGTTTTCTAGTCGATGCTGCAGGTTAGTAAAACAGAGAGTAAAATGACCATGAAGCTGCTGTCCCAAATCCTAGTTTGAATTCACACTCTGTTGAAGTCAGCAGTTAAACCTCTGTGAAGTGTAAGCAGTTTAGGCATGCTGATGCTGTACTGTGCTAACAGTTCCTTATCAGATGTTTTCATGCACATGATTTTGGACTGAGTCTTAAATAGATGATTTTGGGGGGTGAAATTTCTTATTCATTTATCAGCCATGCTTATTCTTCTCCATGTAATGCTTCACTGTGATTACAACTCTAACCTTTTGCAGCCCCTGCAGAGATAGCAGGGAGTTGAAAGTATCCGCAGTGTTTCTTCTGCTTATTGCAAAGCAAAGCAGAACTTGAAAAGTTCAGGAAGCACAGGCTGCTGCTTGCAGACTCTGTGGACCAGGGCTCAAAAGGCTGATCACATTTTAGACTTGTCGTTCTACTAGTTTTCTGAGAATATGGTACTGAGCTGATACACTAGGTGGTAGGATTATAAGCAGTTAATAGTCTGTAGCTTGGTACTGTTCAGCAGTAGCTTTTCGAAGCAGCTATAATGTGTCTTAGCTGTAATTTGATATTGAAAAAGTTCCTCTTTCTACAGATTCTTGGGGTAAATTGCTCAGCTGAGATGCATAGTTGCAGCTTCTCTGATGCTGAAAGAGCTTATCTATGCACTAAAGATCTAAGCTCAGATACTTTATGAGAGCGTGGAGATTTTCTGGTTTTCATCCATTTGATCTGAACATGCTCGTAAACATCCCAGTGGCTGAATTTTGCTCCAGCACTGGCGGTGTGAATCTGTGTTTGTGTAATTTTATGAATAAAATGAGTAATGCATATGCAGAACACACCTGGATTCTCACCACTGAGCAGTTCTTTGGACTTAAGTACCCAGAGATGCTGGGGAGCTGTACATCTGCACAACGCATGAGTCCCATGCTGTTCCCTCATGCAGTGCTTGCGCTCAGAGGTTCATTCCCATCGCTTCCTCTTCAACGGCAGCAAAAGCAGAATTCCCCACCCACCCTTCTCTGCTTGCTTCTTCCTTACCCAGTTATATTTTATCATAATCTTCTGCGAGGGCTTGTGTGCACCAAATCTGCGTGAGCTGGATGAATTGGGCTTTATCTACAACTGAACAGAGGTCATGGGCAGAGGGCAAAAAAAGGTAGTTCAAGAATTTGTAGGTACTATCAGAGGGATTATGTGTGGAAAGGATTTGATGTTGTGCCATGTGCCTGTTGTTGCAGAAACACTGGAAAAGGTTCAGGGGATAGGTGCCACGAGTATCAGAAGTTCTTACAGACAGCTCACCTGGGTACTTCTGCGTGTCTGTTACTCAGTCCTCGTTCTGCCTATCCAGGACACTTTTCCTGCCCATTTATTGCCACTGTTTCCAGCTCCTTGCCTCTGGAGGTACATGCGGCTTTTTCTCAAGTCTCTCTTGGGATGACAGCTGAAGCTTTCATTTCCCAGTTCATTGTAATGTAAAATACATTAATTGCCCTGTATTTTGTGCCCATGCTGTAGTGTGCAGGAAATACACACTTTGCCATTTGTGAGGTGGTAACTCTGCCTAAGTCAGGGACCCGGGCTTTCTGTGTAGCCAGTAGGGAAGGCGGTAGGCTCTGAGCTTGGGCATTCAGCATCACCTCTGGAGACGGTACCTCCTCTGTGAGCATTGCCTCCTAATTTAGGCACCCAAGTTAACACAGGTTGGTGAGCCCTTTCGCTTACCATATACCTACTGTTCAATTCTTCTCAGTTCCTGGCGGTGTGAAAGGCAGGAGTTATAATCAGCACTCAGTGAATCACTTAATTCCTCTGATAATTATTTCTCCCATCTAGAAAGAAATGATGCATTTCCCTGCTTTCTGCCATTTATAGAGTACTGTGTGCCTGCATTTTTTTCCCCCCTCAGCCTTATTTTTCACTCCTTTCTCAGCGTGAGGCAGGCTTGCTGAATCTGCCTCTGCTTCCCATTTGCCACGTGTGAGAAGCTGAGCAGAGGAACATTGTGTGCTGCCTCAGGACTCAGTGGGGCTGACTTGCAGAGCATCACAGACTGAGGAATTGCAAGCGCTGGAAGAAACTCATCGATGCTTAAGCTCAAGGCACTGCATTCGTCAGGACTTTTCTAAAGATTACTGGTTATTTTATCTACCCT